AGTTACCAAAACAAATGAAAAGGGAGATAGATAGACAAGGGGTGAGAGTGAATTCCAAGTCTTCCTCATGTTATTCCTGTGCCTTTACTGGACCTGAGCTAAAGTCTTTTTAAAAATCTGCATGGTCTAAAATTTCTAAGACTCCTTGTCCACATTGGGCTGTGTTTGACTGTGTCCCCATGGCACTCCTATTCCTGGGCTGTCCATTGAGCTGTTTCCCCAAGGGTGGCATCAGTAAAGACCTACCATGCTTCAGCTCTACAAATCTCTGTAGTTCCCTCTCTCTGATGTCAACTCACTGCTATAGCATCATGGCTAATATGGACTTGCTACAAACTCTTCATGGGTTTATGGCTTTCTTTAGTGAAACTGCCTCAACAAGAATAAAGATTAAACATAATTGAGTGACTACTCAGGAAAATTATACATTAAAAAAATAGTGTCTGCATGGTTAGAGAAGAAAAAGGCACTGAGTATTTATGTAACACATGAATAATTCTTCAGTTCAATTCAGCACTCATACACACTCCACTGATTGATATGAGGATTCTAGAGTAAGTCAAAATTGTTAGAGTTAGTGAAGATGAGAACATGCAATCACAAAACAATTAAGAAAAAGTTTTAAAGAACACAGTAGGCACTAAATAAATGTGGAATGAATGAATCAGTGATGTTTGCCTTTAAGCATGATAGAGATTGCAAGTATTTTTATACTTAAGTGCTGTGGGAATTCACATTTTAATAGAGATTGCAATATAGTGAGCTTAGTCTGGTAAGGCTTCTTGTAGCTGTTGATCTGAAAAAGTATAATATTTAAAATTGCATGGTTGAACTTATAAGACATTCTGAAAGAGTTAAAATATGGCTAATAATTTCCGTGGGGAAAATTTAATTTAAATGAGTACTTGAATAGAGTGGTCCATTTCACTTATATTACTGGGGTTCAACCACATTTTATAGACAGGCCTCTTTGTCTTAGGTATCAATGGTTCACTAATAATTTAATACTAATATTAATAATAAATTAATAACCTATTATCCAATAGGTTACATTGAATATCATTGAGATAATTCTATGAAAGCCCAATAATATTGTCACTCTCCCTTGCATCTGTTTTCTTTGATGGAGGAAATAAAGAAAGCTACAGCTAGAATCGAAGGAGGACATGCAAGGGAGTGCATCTGAAATGTGACTGCTAGCATTTAGGTGTTAAACAGATGAGACAGAAAATCATTGCATTAGGGCTAGAAATCTTTTCAATAGACTTGTATCTAGATGGTATCGTATTTTTTCTGCTTTTGTTCATTATTGTACTTCCAGCATTTAATGTAGTCATGCTTAATAAATATTTCCTTTTATTTTTGATGGCATTTAGTTAGCCAACTAACTGTTAAACAAAGTCATGTCTCGTGTATCTGCATATCTTTCACGATTCATGAATTCAAGACATTTAAAACAAAGCCTTGCATAGAAAACACATTTAAAAGTTTAAGAATTTGCTTTTCCCTCTCCACCTCTCTCCTCTCTTCCCCTTACTTTCCCTTCTCTTCCCTCAAAGAAAGCACTTGTTAGTATCAGGTAATAATTGAAAAACAAGTATTGGCAGTTATCAGGTAAAGAAAAACAACTCTAAAAACAGTCATAAGAACCATGTATACATGGTATTTGAAGGCAGTTACTATAGCAAGAAATACTAAGAGCAAGGTGTAGGGCTTGAAAGGGTGAGCCGTAGTCTTTGGGAAAATTCAGTTTATTGGAACACCTTATGTTTCTTGATAATATTAGATAAGCCTAATTGGACTTATTTAGTAACTACTAGATGACCGGCATCTTGCTTGTTATGTTTATGTTTAAGATAGGATGGGATTTGCAGTCTAGGAGAAGAGGCAAAAGAAACACATGGGAAATTATTATAGAATAACATAAAACTATATATAACTAAATATAAGGAGAGGAAACAAACCGAGTGATTCTTCTCGTGTGAAGAATATGAAGGTCTCTTTCTAAGGAGGTGGAATTAGAGGATGAATATAATTTGGGTTAAAAAAGGGAGGGAGGAGGCAGGATGGCTTCCAGGGAAGTAGGGGAGGCCACAGAAAGACGGTGGTAAGGTGAACTGCAGCCTTTACGGGCGTCTTGAGAAATCATGCAAAGTAGGGCAAGATAGATATTATAGTGAAAATTAGGAAGGTCTAATGGCCTATTTGCCTAATGTTTAACAATCTTTACTCACAGTATCACTTACATTAAAGAGAGACTATAGTTATTGCTTGTTCTAGAGGTCTCTTTAATCTTTAATGATTGAACCCATTACTTTTAAAGAGCAAGAGAAAGGATTCCTTTTTCAGTCAGTTTGGTGGTACAATATCCAACTCTAGGCTCTCCATTCTATGTTGATATCTAATTTGCAATGATTGAGTATCTTGATTAATAGTATCCTAGTCATGCTACTTGCTTCTCTTTCCTTCATATGCCATGTCATCTTAAGATCTTTTACCATGGAACTGATGTCGTCAGAACCTCTAACCACTGTGGAGATTCTGTTGACTTCCACTGACTTCTCTATAGTCCTTATATTATAGTGGCCATCATGATGCTGTTGTGATTAAAAGCCCAAGCCCTATGCAAAATTGCCCAGGTTTGAAACCGGCCTTTGCTATATATATATATATGTATATATATACACACACACACACACATATATATACACACACACATGCTGGATGACACTGGACAAATTACCTAAACCCTCTGACTCCCAATTACCTAATTTTAAATTGAGGCTAGCAATAATATCTACCTCAAAGAGTTGTTGGAATAAATTAATGCAGATAAAGCACTTAGAATAATTCCTGGTACATGGTATCATATAAAGGTTATTAGTGTTCTCTCTGATAGGGATAAAAGAAGTGCACCTAATAGGAAAATTATACCCCCCATGCAAACTCTATAGTAACAGTTTTTAGATTATTTTACATTTAAGTTGCACTTTATGTATTTATTGGAGTAATAATTTAGCTTTAAAAGGACTTCAAATACCTTTTAACACAATCTCTCCTCTAGTGCCATAGCAAAAGGCCTGGTGCAGAGTAGACTATGGTATCTACTCAACAAATATTTGCTATGTGAGTAAATTAAGTTGCAAAATACTAAACAGTCAAAAGACAGGTAGATAGTTATTATGGTAAATAGAGTTATGCTTGGTTCTTTGAGAATACAGAGAGGTGAGTTTAAACCCAATGTGGAAAACAGTAAATCTACAAAGGCTTCCTAGAAGCAATGATACTCAACTGAATCTTAATGGATACACAGGAGTTGGCCTCATAAAAAACAAGAAGCTTAAAGGGTCTAGATAGCCCATTTACAATATGGCCTCTGATCAAATTATTCAAAATAGGGCAATTAGTTAATGAGAATCATTTTATTGGTATTTATACCAAGCATATATATGAAATTTCACTTTATCACCTATTATTCTAAATGGAATCAAATTATTCCAAGTAGGTAGATATTCTTAGTGATTCTGGTTGAAAATGTGTATCCTTAAGCCTTTTGAAAAATCTGGCTGAAAGAAAAATAATAGCTATCTTTTACTGAGTGATTCCGTGCTGGTCTTGTAATGAGCTCTTTTCAGGAACTGAGTAAGATAAACCTCACAAGAAGAAAGTTCTCTTACTGCCCAAATTGATAAACGTGGTAAGTAGCAGAGCTAGAGCTTGAACTCAAGGTTGCCAAGTGCATGTTCTTCATTACTACATTATGTGAAGTTTTGGATTAACTCCTCACTAAAAATACTGTCTTGTCTTGTTTTCCTTTTATATAATTTGAAGAGACATTCAAAGAAATAACTTCATTAATGATATTAGTTTAGATTTTATTTCTGGAGACTTTTGTAAACTGTTACATAAAATGTAATTTATAAATTTCCCTTCAATACTACACGGATGAACTCATCACAAGATTTCTTGCTAGTCAGCACTGTTCTCCACTAAAAGTGCTTTCACATCCACATCTTTGCTTTATCCCCTAGTGAATATAGAAAACTACTTCAATAATGCATATTCCTTTCTATATTCCTTCAAGAGAATGTTGCCTATTTAAATCATTAAGATGGATTCCTGGTACAAAATCAGAATTAAAAAAATAAAAACTTTAATTGTAAATACCTGGAATCATAGTCGATGTCTAAATATATTAAGTAAATCCAAAAACATATTTAAAAACCTAGTTTTCATCACATAATACCTCTCAAGAAAGCAGAGATCTCAAGTTATCTTTTCCATTAAAACAGTTTCATTTTCATGCTTCCTTCACAAAAGTATTCGTATGCATGAAGGCCATCTGGCTATGTTACTACCTCCCCTTTGACATTAACTAATGTGGCAATCAGGCTAATGTCCCACCGTTTCCTGACCACTAGCCAGTATCTACCCTCTGAACATTACCCACTTCATGCTTTTCTCAAATCCTTATCTTTGCGTACATCTCTACTATTGAAAACAAGTCACAATGTTGACTACCATTAGGTTTCTACTAATGTTTTCTAGTCATTTCTGTATTCTTCCAAGTCAGAGAATGTAACTGGGCTCCACCAGGAAATAAAATAGAGGTCATTGAAGCGGCAGTGGCTTCCAAGCTGTTTGCTAAATTTAGCAGTACAATACTTTCCACTCTAATGAAAACTGTGAACTACAATTTTAGAATGTTGGAACAGAATGGGACTTTAAAGGTCATTGAGTCCCACCCCCTCATTTTTCTGATGGAAGTGTGGAGGCCTAGACATAGCCAGTAATTTTCTGCAGGCCACAGATCTTGTTAATTATGAAGATGGAACTCCAAGTAAGATCTGCTCAGCCCTGTAGTAATGCTGCCCTCACTACACCACAGATGCTCTGCCTCCTAGGATGAGTCTAAACTAATCAAATGTGATAGCATAAATATAGCTAATATTATTGGTTGTGGCTTACCCTCCACGGCCATTCAACTGTTTCGTAGCTGAGTGTGAAATAGCAAAGGTGTATGACTTATGAGTTGCCGAGAGAAATGATTCTATACCCAAACCCTGCCCCCAACTCTAAAAACTTCCTGCTTGATGTTCATCAATAATGAATGGCCCATCCCTGCAATACTCAGAGGGAGCTTACATTGCACTTTTGAGCAGCCGGTTAGTAATGTACAGTGGATAGAGCCATTCTTTCAAATCCCAGGGCAGTGGGTCCTTCAAGGCTAGCATTGCATTTTCAATTAGCTGCTGAGTGAATGCTTGGCATGGTATTAGTGAAGAGGCACACAATTAGCGTGTTGTTCCTTTCTGTATTGTGCTGAGAGGATCCAAGGGATTGGTGGGGGAACAGGCAAGCCAGGCATCACCGTGGATATTGAAGAAGGGGGTTACTCAAACCTCGGCATCTTCACTTGCTCGCTCTGGAATTACAGCTATTTATTACGAAGCACTCTGTGTGGCTTAGTGGAGTGTGTCTGAGGAAACACATCCGGACACCACTTAGGGTTAGTCTTTCTGAGCTCTTCACATCTCTGACTAATTATCTTCATTATCATGGAGCCCAACAGTCCCAAAAAGATACAATTTGCTGTGCCTTTATTCCAGAGTCAGATTGCACCTGAAGCAGCAGAGCAGGTAAGTGAAATTGCATGGGGTACAATTCCTGTACATAAGGTAATATGAACATGCATTCTTGTTATTAATTGAAATGTTCTTTACCGCTTGATTTTGCTGTGACTTTCAAGATATGTAAACAAGAAATAAGTTGGTTTTTATACATACTTGCATTTAAATTGCATTGGGAGAACTATTGTCTAAATTGTAGCACTTCATATGATACAAAATGAGCACCTCTGAGGGGAAAATGGCTCTGTAAGCAATTCAGGTATGGATTCATAAATCTGTTCATTTTTGCTCATTAAAATAACAGTTTCAACATTTAGAGCAACTTTTAAAAAAATTATCAAAATGAGCAACATTTTATTTAATTTTTTATAAAATAAAATGATTGATTTAGCAATAAAATTAAATCCTGAGATAGTTTCAGACTATAGGTCGAATACTTTATTTTCATATGTTTTTTATTGTGGACCCAAAACCATGATTGTAAGTTTATATAATATATTACAGCGAGGATTTGTAGCTTTTGGTACAATTTTAAAATTGTTTTGTTCAGACATTACAAACAGTATTTTAACATTTCCTAGATTCTTTGTCCGTGTCTAATATTGGTTTACATCTGTATCACCTTTCATATTCAGATTTACCTCGACTCTTGATGCAATGGCATCTCGTAGAACTGCAACTGTGAGGAGGCAAAAGCAAAGAAATTGATGAGGACATCAACCTAATCCATTAATTTCTTAAAACCTAAATTATTTTTGAATCCTGTTCCAAGTATTTGAAATAAAGTCTTAAAAATAATTATTTAATCCGTGACTCATAGTGTTTCAGGATGTTTTGACAATCTGAAGTAGATGCACCTAGACTCAGGCCAGATAAATGTAACCTTGAACATGTGTCTATCTATGCTGAATGGGATGTTGCTTCTATCTTGGACAGGATGTCATTGATAAATTTTATTCTCTATCCTACTGACATTTACTTTGGGAATTTACCCATAAATGAATATAATAAACAAATAAAGGATATTATATTCGAGGGATTCTGATAATACTATGCTCCTGTAACTCTTAAAATGAAAAATAAACTTGAGAGTTTGTAATAAGTTACATATGCTCATAAGATCCATATTTATTCTTCATTTGTTTATATGTTCTAAATATTATACTAGAAAATAAAAAGTTAACAAAATCAATTGAAATTCAAAGCTTATGCTGCTAATTTAACTCTGGTACCTGCTAGAAATAGGTTTCCAAGCTCTTCCCTATCCTGTTTAAAAATAAGGGTAACGAATCTTGAAAGCATCACCAATGTTATGAGGCTCTAAGTGAGCCACTAACATTATCAGGTCAACTCTGTACCTTCACTGTAAATTAATTTTCTGTTGTATCATTCAATTGTATATAATTATTTTTTTTTTCTGTGGAAATGTAGCTTTTTGGTCAAAGAGGGTGGGTGATACTTCTATCAGACAGTTCAATTCTGTGGCTTTCTATTGTTTCAAAATAAAATTAGTGAGCACCTTCCATGTGTCCTCCAGAAGTTTGCTTTTGCATGTGGGGAAAAGATGAGGATGATACATCTTTGCAAGCTGCAGAGTAACCTGGAGCAGTGTCTAATACTCATTGATATTAGCTCACCTTTTGTCATTCACAGATCAGGAAAAGAAGACCTACACCAGCATCACTTGTGATTCTCAATGAGCATAACCCCCCAGGTAAAGAAGCATGATGTGTTTCACACTGATGGAACAGAATGGAATTGTTTGAAGAACATCAAAGTACATGTCATTACTGAACAGTTTCAATTTAGGATTTCAGTTAGCAATGCTCTAGAAAACTAATCTATAAAATGGATCATAAACAGAATCAGAAATAAATATTACAGGAATCATCTCAAGCAACAGCCTGTATTTCCTCTAGAATGTCACGAGTGATGATATGCTATGAAATGTTTTGTTAGCACTGGCTGTCATATGTTCAGGTGTTTGTATGGAACCTGGATCACAGCTTATTAATGAGGCTGGAGGAAAGCTGTTCAATTTGGTTTCAAAGCTTAAATTACAGCCCTAGAGATGCTTATCTCTTTACAGAGTAAGGTTTTTATATGGAAAAGGTTAACATGGGGTGGGCAATGACCCAGAGTTGGCTTCAGCTTTGCTGCTGATGTCATCTCTGAATAATGCAATTGACAAGTAACCAGATCAATTTTCAGCACTGCCTATTTGAGAGCCATTCTGAATGGCTAAATCCATTTGTTGAGGTTTTATTTTCCATTTCCTGTAAAAATGAAAACTGCATTATTATTCCTGATAAAAGACTATGATCTGTAATCCACAAACATTATTTACTTATTGAGCGGGGTGATTTTTAGTCTCCCATTGAAGTGCTGCTTCTGGATATACAAGTAGGATAGGAATGGTGATGGCATTAATTTGTAACCAGGCAGATCTTGGTGTTGGATTTTCTGCAGGTATAAACAATAATGGGTGGACAAAAGGAGTTTAAACAGTGGAAACATCATATGTCTAATAATAGACTGTAGTGAGTGATCTAAGAATACCAGGGTGAAATAGTCCTTGACTTTTTCAGACTCTTTTCTAATTAGACAAACGTATAAAAAGAAAGTCAACTAACAGACTGTTCATCCTTGAGCCCAAATCCAAGAACATTTTCAGGTGATGGAAAATAAGTAAGCTAATTTTTTTCTGTTGAAAACAAACAATTATAACTTGATCCTATAACTTTAGAGTGCCATTACATTTAAAATTATTTTCAAATATATTATCTCAATAAATGTTATCTTACTTATATTTGGTTAGATAAGAGGTGCAAATGATATGTAATTTTAGTTTAAAAATAAATACAAGTATGAAGACAATGAAGTCTTCTCGATTTGCGGGGGTAATTTTATAGCAATTTTCCATCACTGCCTTGCTCACAGTAGCAGACACTTCTGCAATGTCCTGAAACTTTCCTCCCCATGCCTGCCATGAGGTGTACTGCACAACTTGATTTCTAGGTGTTCTATCGCTCGGAAAGCAGTTTTCAGAGGTCTACAGGCATTGTTGCTGTTTGAACATAGTGAAGTCATGTAAGTGACCTTCATCCTTTCATTTGAACTCCCAAAATAGCACCTACATTTTCTTGAGTGCCAAATATGTGCCATTTGGATGAGGAAAGTGTTTATCAGAGAGGTGAAGTGATTTTTGTGGCTATTCCACTAGAAGTGATGGATTCCAGAGACAAATGCAGGTAATTCTGATACTGAAGCCCATACATTTCCACTGGCACTGGCTTTGAAAATATCAGTTTGCACTACATAGTGAAGGCTTTATAATGTGACTAGTCATTCAGGCCCTGTAAACAAGGAAAACCAAACAAAATAAATCCATTGTCTGTACCACTTATCTTAGTAGATTAGGGATTGTACTTAAATATCCCTAGGAATGAGATTCAGTTTTTCTCTAGAAACCTTTTTCTTGTCAGATCTCCCAATTACTAGATGGCATTGTCCCTTTTCTGTAATTGACCTCATCCTTCTCTGTTTTTTAAGCACCATTGGAGACAAATTAGATGCAAATAGCATCTCACAGAGAACTACTGTATTCTAGTAAATCACCTGTCTGCATCTTCTTCCCCCTTTATGGAAACTAGAATAGTCTACAAAGAATTAATAAGCTTTTGGCTGTGTGTAGGACTTGGATAAGTGTGCATGGCAACTAGAGATTTTGGACTAGTGATGGATCTTTGTAGCAAAGCCCTTGAAAGCTTATAGTTTTCCAAATAAAAATGATCTAGCACCAAGCTTACTGGGGAAATAACTCTAAAGATAAAACAACAACAACAACAACAACAAAGAAACAAACAGCAAAAAAAGAACACTAAACCAAATCAAACTCGGATACTGGTCTTAACCAGCCATGTGATGTGATCTTGGGAAAGGGATATCTCCAAGCTTTTTTTTTTTTTTTTTTTTTTTTTTTTTTTTTTTTTTTTTTAGCGACGGAGTCTCACTCTGTCACCCAGGCTGGAGTGCAGTGGCACGATCTGGGCTCACTGCAAGCTCCGTCTCCTGGATTCACGCCATTCTCCTGCCTCAGCCTCCCGAGTAGCTGGGACTACAGTTGCCCGCCACCACACCCGGAGAATTTTTTGTATTTTTTTTAGTAGAGATGGGGTTTCACCGTGTTAGCCAGGATGGTCTCGATCTCCTGACCTCATGATCAGCCCGCCTCGGCCTCCCAAAGTGCTGGGATTACAGGCGTGAGCCACCGTTCCCGGCCTCCAAGCTTTATTTTCTCATCTATAAAATAGTGATCATAATGTTCTTTCTTTCAACCTCACAGGGTTGTTGTAATGATCAAAAGAGTTAACATGAACATGCCTTAAAAATTGCAAAGTGCAACACAGATTAGGTGTCATTAACTGATGTGTTTGGGAATGTAATATTTGCATGTGATATTTAAGAATGAAGATATAACAAGAAAAACAGAATCTTCATAATCTCATCTGTTCTAAATATTTCTGGACTATCCAACAGTTTCTTTTCCAAACATTATCTGAACACTCTCTATCAAACAACAAAACAAGTAACAACAAAAACCCTCATAAGTGTTAAATGACCATTTTTAAGCAACTGTTTCTCCTGTCCCCCAAAAGCAGTATGTTCTTTGAAAAACAAAAACTGGGTGTAGCTTTAAATCCTGGTAAAACTAAACAAATCTCTTCAATTCACTGAAATTGGCCAGGGAATAATTGGCTGTTCTTGGACTCACCTGTCATTAATGCTGTTTAAAATTCAAAACCCTGCAAATCTTTCTTTATTGTCAATTAATAAAGCAAAGAAAATTAAATTATTCATTATAGAAACATAATTAATAAACCATTCCAGTTCATATGACAAGATCAGTGTACTGCAATCACTGTTAAGTGAATTAGACATAGCTTGCTTTTAAAAAAATCTTTTGAAGTGTTTGCAGGAAGAGTAAATTATAGGATTATTTGAAAGAATGATTATATATATATTCTGTTTATATTTTGTAGAGGAAAAATAGAAAGATATTTCAGCATGTATATTCAGATTTTTGTTTGCTAGTTCATCTATGCTGGTCTAAACACATAGATGAGACAGGCACCTGATTAACTGTATTCTAGGAGCAGCACAATGTCCCATCAGTCCCTTTCTAACAAATAACCTAGAACTCTCAGCAGTAGAAGCACTATGTAAACAGATACTTAACCTGTTAAGGATATATCACCCTCTGACATGGGTTAGTACATCAGTTTAACTCAAAATAGTGGGAAATGAAACTGAAATTTTTAAATTGACGGCATGAGGTCTGGGAAAGTTTAATAGCAAAGGTGTTGCTTTAGGGTAGAAAAAGCAGAAACAATGTATTTGCTTCTAGGAATAACTCTCAACAGTCAGGTGGCAGCAAAAAGATACTGAAAAACTGAGATAGAGGATGTAAGGAATCGCCAAAGATCCTTATATTTCATCTTTTTCAAATGTTTTCTGCGGCTACCAATGTAAGTGACCTTTGTAGCAAATTGCCTCTCTCTATTTCAGTTCCTCTTCTGATTAAGGTCCTCTTTATGATAAGCTCTCTGAAGTTATACAGGAGAGCATTGTTATCTATTCTTATACTGTGTGCTGTTTGCTTTTACTTTTGTATAATCTGCAGTGAACTGGTTTGGTTCCTATATATTTTTTTTATCTAGAGACCTGCTTATGTGTAAATCCTCTCTATAGGGAAATAAACGGCAAAGACACTTTCTGCAATTTACTCCATGACATCTATAGACTGTATATTTGGCTACTAGCGTTTGAAATCTGGAGTTAGACAATAATTTCAGAAAATACCTACTTTAACCACACATCTTCATGACAGACGTATATAAACCAACCCAAGTCCCTGAGACTCGCTCCATTTTATATACCTCAGAGAAGAATCCATGATTACCCGGGGTTTTCAACTCCAGCTCTGATGATTTCAGATGTTAGAAAATAGTTTCTTGTATGAAACTTAAACATAAATTCCCCACTTTATTCTAAAATAACTCTTCACTTGTTCTCTGCAATAAAAAGTCATTTTCTCACCTTTAAAAAAATATGAATGAATGATTATTTTCTTTTATTCCCAATCTCCCTAAGGGCTTTAATAAACTCTATCCGAATTCTCCCTATTGCTCTGCCTTTGAAGCCCAGAGCTGGACACAGTCTTCCGGTAAAAAGCCAGCCTAGACCAAGTCTTCTGAATATTAAAGTTTGTGGCATCCATTGTTTTCCATTTAGCATTAAGCAGAGACAATATGGTTACAATTATATTTAATGGGCCTGATGCCTATTAAACATGAGTGAGCTATATGAGGCCTGAAGCTAAGTGCAGATTTGGGTAAGTACCCAGGAGTTTTGACGTCATTTAAAAGCTCGTTGTATGTCTAAAAAGTGGAATCTGAAACATAAGGTAAAATAGTTTTTTGAGTATAATTATTGAACTTCCTATCACAGCCAAATTTTAGGGAAATCGACTTTATCTTTGACCCGTTTAGCGTCAAATATCCTTTGAAATCAAGAATAAAAACAGAGGTTGTTCTCACATGCCTCAGGTTCCCAAAAGTTAGTTAATAGGAGACATAAGAGATATATGATACTAAATATCATACTATCTCCTTTCAAATTTGATAGCAGTCCTGGTCATTAGAGAGAACTGAG